TCTACCCTGACAGACGTGGGGCTGCGACAAGTCAGAACCAACTCAACAGCAACTTGTTAATCTTAGCTGAGTACTTTTCCTATCACACTTGGTTCTCCTTGATTTTATGATCTCTTGAATTTAACAGCAACTCTAACTTCTGGAAGGTAAATCATCCACAGTGTAAGTGAAGGCTTTGTACAATGATCACACTTTGAGGACTTCTGTAGTCCTTAGGCTAACCTTTCCTAGGCTGGGTTTATGCCCCCACCCCATCTCCTGCCATGCCTCTCTCAGTGCTCCAGCCATAATGACTTTCTGTAATACCTTGAATGAGCCATACTCTTTTGCTTGTTAGATCATCCATCAGGAACCTTCTATACCAATCCCTTCGCTTCTCTTGACCTGGCTGATGCCCACTTATCCTATGATTCAACTCAGACATCACTTTCCTAGGGAAGCCATCCCTGACCAACCCTCATTCCATCTCTACACATAAATACACTCAAGACTAAGTTGAGCTCCAACCCCTCCTCACCCTCCATAGTACTGATCACTTCTTCTTTACTTTCATTACATTTGTAAGTCTTGTTTAGTGTCTCTTCCCCACAAGTCTGTAACATCATGGGTATGTTGAATCCTGAGCATAGCAGAACATCTGGCATGCAGTGGGTGGTCAGTAAATGCTTGCAGAAGGAAGGATGTAAGGAAGGAAGAAAGGGAGGGAGGGAGGGAGGAAAAGAAAGAGAGAGGAAGGAAAGACTTCTGTACAAGGTTGTGGCATCTCTCTCCTAGAAAATTTAGAAGAAGTGTGTAGACATTCCTCTGGTCTGACTGGTTAGACTCCACCATCCCTCAAGGCCCATTTAGCTCTGGGTCATGTTAAGTAATCTATACCTTCTGCAGACCTTGGCTTGTTGAAAATGCAGCTTGTGTGCAGTTCGCTGGGAAGATTCTGGAGAGAAATTGCACCTGTTAGCTCAGCTAAGGGGAGAACACATTTATCCTAATCGATTTCAGGTAATAAGGGTAAACTATGGTCAGTCACTTGTATTTGGCCCAGCTCCCTACTCTGTGAGAAGCAAGTGATAAAATCCTTCTCTGGCAGAGCCTGCATGGAGATGTTCCAGAAACTGTAGGGCATAACTCTGTGGGTAGAGGAATAAATCCACCCCTTTTGGGAAGGGATCACAACCAGTCACACAAATCTTGGCCTGGCTCATGTGTACAATTGAATTAAATGGAAGCTACAATACTCTTGACATATGTGAAGTGTTCTAGAAGGTGACTAACTTTTAAAAACTCTAACCCACAGAATAAAATGTCAGTGAACTCCCATTTAGTGATCAGGATTCTTTTAAAAAATTGCTTTATATGTGGGGACAATGAGATTATTTTCCTTTAATGTTGTTATTTTGAAATAGCATTGGGGAGAAAAACATGCAGTTACTTCTAAGGGAGGCATGTTTGAACAATGTCTTAGGAGACAACAACTGTGGTTGGCATGTTTCTGAGCAAAGTCAATTTTCTGCTCCATATATTGCAGCTCATATACTCATCTTGACTGCAACATTGAACCTTGCTCAACTTTTATTGTGAAGACTCTGAGTGCCTGGGTTTTATTCCCTTCTGGTCTGGACAGTGACCAATAGGCATTGGGTTTATGGTAAAGAGCACTAGGCTTGGGAGCCAGACGGCTGAATCCACATCCTGGGCCCACCAAGACTTCAGTTAGTTGCTGAATATCTCCCATCTCAGTTTCCTCATTTGTAAGATTGAAATAAAAATAGTACTGTTACGAGGTTTAAATAAAAAACACATAGTAAGCCCTCAGTAAATGCTAGCTATTCTTATTAAATTACTGATTTATATTCATTCTTTCCACAAATATTTATTGAGTACTTACGTTGCTATTGTTGTTAGGTACCATCAGGTTGGTTCTGACTCATAGCAACCCTTTGTATAATAGTACGAAACGTTGCCTGGTTCTGCATCGTCCTCACAATCATTGCTATGTTTAAGCCTATTGTTGAAGCCACTGTATCAGTCCATCTCATTGAGCGTCTTTCTCTTTTTCGCTGACCCTCTACTGTACCAAGCATAAGGTCCTTTTGCAGGAGTTAGTCCCTCCTGATAACATGTCCAAAGTATGGAAGACAAAGTCTCACCACCCTCACTTCTAAGGAGCATTCTGGTTGTACTTCTTCCAAGGCAGATTTGTTGATTCTTCTTCCAGCAGTTCATACTATATTTAATATTCTCCACCAACACCACAATTCATATGTGTCAATTCTTCTTTGGTCTTTCTTTTTCATTATCCAGCTTGAACATCTACTATGTATTACATTTGCTGTCTCAGAGTAAAGATTATTTGGTCAGGGAGCCTAGACCCTTTTAAGATCTCTGCACAAAAAGCTTGGAGAGATTCATATAATTCCAGACCATGAGCAAAGCTACCTAAGGAGGTAAGACATACTTAGTGACATCGTCCCAGTGTAAAGCAAATGGATTTAAATACAGAGTTGTTGTTAGGTACCACTGAGTCAGTTCCAACTCATTGCGACCCCATGTACAACAGAACAAAACACTGCCCAGTCCTGCGCCATCCTCACAATCATCTTTATTCTTGAGCCCATTGTTGCAGCCACTGTGTCAATCCATCTTGTTGAGGGTCTTCCTCTTTTTCACTGACCCTCTACTTTACCAAGCGTAATGTCTTTCTCCAGGGACTGGTCTCTCCTGATAACATGTCCAAATTATGTGAGACAAAGTCTCCCCATCTTTGCTTCTAAGGAGCATTCTGGCTGTACTTCTTCCAAGACAGATTTGTTCATTTTTTTGGCAGCCCATGGTATATTCAATATTCTTTGCCAACACCATAATTCAAAGCATCAATTCTTATTCAGTCTTCCTTATTCATTGTCCAGCTTTCACATGCATGTGAGGTGATTGAAAACACCATGGCTTGGGTAAGGCGCACTTTAGTCTTCAAGGTGACATTTTTGCTTTTTAACCCTTTAAAGAGATCTTTTGCAGCAGGTTTTCCCAATGCAATGTGTCATTTGATTTCTTGACTGCAGTTTCCATGAATGTTGATTGTGGATCCAATAAAATGAAATCCTTGACAACTTCACAATCTTTTCTCCGTTTATCATAATGTTGCTTAGTGGTCCAATTGTAAAGATTTTTGTTTTCTTTATGTTGAAGTGTAATCCATCCTGAAGGCTGTGTTCTTTGATCTTCATCAGTAAGTGCTTCAAGTCCCCTTCACTGTCAGCAAGCAAGGTTGTGTCATCTGCATAACGCAGGTTGTTAACGAGTCTTCCTCCAATCCTAATGCCATGTTCTTCTTCATATAGTCCAGTTTCTCAGATTATTTGCTCAGCATACAGATTGAATAAATATGGTGAGAGGATACAACCCTGATGCACATCTTTCCTGACTTTAAATCATGCAGTATCCCCTTGTTTTGTTCGAATGACTGCCTCTTGATCCATGTACAGATTCCTCGTGAGCACAATGAAGTGTTCTAGATTTCCCATTCTTTGCAATATTATCCATAGTTTGTTATGATCGGCATAGTCGAATGCCTTTGCATAGTCAATAAAACACAGGTAATACCATCTTTCTGGTATTCTCTGCTTTCAGCCAGGATCCATCTGACATCAGCAGTGATATCCCTTGTTCCACATCCTCTTCTGAATCCAGCTTAAATTTCTGGCAGTTCTGTGTCGATGTACTGCTGCAGCCACTTTTGAATGAATATAGAGTACTACCAACTAAATACTAGTCAGACTCTTTATTTCATTCCATGATACTATGATTTAATTCTGAAATTAATAATGCTTTCTGAATTTAAACAGCCTAAAACTATTTTCTGACAATGATCCTTTATTTAGTCAAGCCCATCCCTGAGTTCTCCTTGCCTAATACCAATTGCAGTTGCTAGCTCCCATTGTATTTCAATCTGTCTATGTAACAAGGAGGAAAAAGCATGACAATGTTTGACTAGTTTCACTTATACTCATCATCTCAGCAGTTCAGTGATCTATCCAACTACTGAGGTGGGTGTAGTGAATGCTATAGTGCCCCTCCCAGATCTCCTCTCAGGTCTAACACACTCATTCCCCCATCTGTCTGGATTGTTGGCATTTGTCAGCTTTCAGTGGGGTCTGTCACCAGGAATTTTGTTCAGTCCAAGGGAGTTTGTCTCTTCTGAGGTTATACCCTGTCCCCAGGATAGCTCACTTTCAATGATTGGTTGAACGGAGAATGCAAGATTTGACTCCTGCCTGAATTTGGGACAACTTTGAATGACCATCGCAGCTCCAGAGCTTTTCTTCAGATGGGTTGAAGCCTCTGTTGCAACTGCAATAAATTTTGGTTTCTACATCTACCCAATCCCATCTCTCACCCTCCCCCCACCCAGAGGTGTTGTGTCCAAGAGGTCTCCCCAATAAACCTTTTGCATGCAAATCTCCAACTCGAAGTCTATTTTCCAGAACATCATCCTAAGACAGGGGCCTTTGGCAAATTTTTTTGGGTATTAAATAAGTAGCAGGTATAGTGCTTAAGTGCTTTGGAAGCGAGTAAACTTCCACTCACTAGTTATATGCCTAGGACAAATTACTTAACCTCCCTGTTCCTTAGTATTTATAAAAAGGGAATTATAATAGTATGCCTCATAGGGTTAAATAAGACAATGAATGTAAAGTGTAAAAGCGTTTAGCAGAGTATCTGATGACTAGTAAGTGCTCAATAAATGTAAGCTGTAATTGCTACTATCAACATCATCATCATCTTCATCATCACTTTCATTATTGTTAAAAACAAACAAAATAAAACCCAGGGCATTTTGGTTTCACAGATTTCTACTGTTATCAAAAATCTTGATGGATAGTAACACTGGCTTAAAGTAGACTTTAGGTTGTATTGAATTGCTTCATTCATACATAACTGTGGGCTCTATTTGTGAGATGTTTGTCTTTCTCTTTCCCTACCCCGATCCCTGCATTTTTTAGTGATGGATGGGCAGACAGAGATGAAGTCATTGAAGGTTATGAGGTGGAAGCCAACGGGGGAATCACCATAAAGCTGCAGTCTCCAGAGGTCAGGTCATTTGATGATTATTTCCTGAAACTGAGGCTGGACACTAATACGAGGAATCCCTGGTTCCCTGAGTTCTGGCAACATCGGTTCCAGTGCCGCCTACCAGGACACCTTCTGGAAAACCCCAACTTTAAAAGAATCTGCACAGGTAACTTGTGTTCACAAAATAACAGCTCAGAGATTTGGTTGTCTCCTCCAGCCCGTTTACAGCTTGTTGAATGAGAGTGGAAGGTGTCAGGGTTGGAGATCCAGAGACATTAAATTGTCATCTTGATTTATAAAATAGCTACTTGAAGGTGAAAGTATGTATTGCCCCAGGGATTCATGTTCATATATTCTAGAAAGACTATTTTGATCCATGGGGAAGTAAGTGCTAAGAAGAGATCATGTAAGTAAGGGAAAGTGAACTGAGAATTCAGCTATGTATTATTCTAGTCAGAGGGAATAGGTTTTATCGCAAGCGTGCTTAGGAGATGTTAGCCAAAGCATTGTGGCAGTGCTGGTTTGATTCCTTTTTCTTTGTGACTTGCTCCCACATGCAAGTCAGGAGAAGGTGAGCTAATAACACCCTCAGCCACACCATCAATTTGGATGTATGTGGGCGTAGGTGGTAAGAAACTCTGTACCCTCATCTGTAAGCCCAATTGATGGTTTCCACTTGGACAGACACTTCCCATGTGCTGCTTGCTAGAGCCATGCCAGGAAAGGGTAGCACTTTGTTCCAGGTTCTTCAGGGGTCTGGTGAACGCCCATAGGATGCCCTATTCATTTCCCCAGTAACAAGCATAAAACAGACTTCTTAACACTGTAACTTTTAGGAGTATTTTTCTCAGTGCATAGAGACTTCAATATTGTCAATGCTGCAACGATAAACCATTGCGCCACCAAGACTCCTTTTGGTCTATCATAGTACTGTTTAAAGCAAATTTTCCCTACTGGGTTGATAACATAGCATTGAGGGCTCTACTCAGGATCTAATTAGTATTGTACTGCAGTGATGTGAAACCTATTTCCTGTAATGAGGCCAAGCAGGCATTCTCCATGAAGGTCTAGAACACATCCATTCACATAGCACCCATGTACCAAACACTGTATGCAGCAAAGGAAGGGACAGAGAAGGATATATGTCATGACCCCTGACCTAGTGGAACTTGTGATCTCTTTGGAAAAACCAGAATCTATCATATATATGAAATAAATAACACCAGAGTACAATGAGCTGTTAGACGAGATAGCATAAGAGTATGACTAATCACCTAAAAATATTTCTAGTTTCAATAACACTTAAATTTGGGTTTTAGAAAATGCCTTAAGATATAAATAATTAAACACAGTAATATATATCTTACTTGGTAAAGTTCCGCAGAGCTCATTGGGAAATTGTCTGATGTAGACCTATTTTCAATCAAGATTTTCAGCACTTTCTCAGTATGGCTTTCAGGGAGGCTGAGAAATCTAACCCAGCTAAGAGCCAGGAGAAAAAGCAACAGCTAACATGTCTATGCCACATATGTATCTCTACTGAGTTCTCTTGTCTCCAAAATAGTAGACCGGTAAAGAATGCCAATGAACCAATGTACCATCTAGTACAATCTCCTTATTTGCAAAACAAAGATGTTGAGGGCTGATGAGAATTAACCGTTTCCTTAGGTTCACATAGCTAACGGCAACAATATTATTAGAACCCACATCTCCTAAATACCACAATGTCTAATGACTTTTGGACTTACGTTTGGTTAATATGTTATCATTTAGCATTCTCCAATTGTTTCCTAAGGAATACTGTTTTCTTTCTTAAACTGTAAGAACTTTGAATACAGAGAGCTCTTGCATCCCTCTCAGCACCCTGAAAAAAACCTGTATCAGGGAACTCGGTCAATTCTGATGAACTGATTAATCAATTGATTTATATCACCTTTTATAAATCAAAATTGATTAACCTTGATTAATCAATTGATTAATTGGAGGTTTAACTTTTGTTTTTTTAAAGAAAAACTAAGGACTATTATTCTTAATACTATTTTTAATGTTTAATAGTATTTTTTTTAAAATAGGCACGTGGGGTCGCCTTGAGTTAGAATTGACTTGATGACAACGCATTTTGTTTTTGTTGTTGTTGTAGTTTATTATTTTTAAAATGGAATTATAGTTCCTTCATTCAACATTCAACAGATATTTGTTGAGCACCTACTATGTGTAAGGCTTTATTCTCTAGAGTGGAAATAAAACACAAAGCAAAAGAAGAAAAAAGCTATGTTCTCAATGACCTTAAAGTTCAGTTAAGGGAAACAGGCAATAAACAGACAAACAGAATAAGAGAAATGTATTCTCAGATAAATGGTCATAAGAGCTAGGGAGAAAGAAAAGTAAGGAATAGGGGTAGGGAGTGATGTGATGGAGGGATTGCAGGTTTTAAAAAGATAGCCAGAGAAAGTATCACTGAGAAGATGACATTTGATTAAAGACGCGAAGGCTATGAGAGGATGAGCCATGCAAACAGTAGGGAAGGGCTTTCCAAGCAGTTACGTTATGTTGTTTTTAGGTGCTGTTCAGTCAATTCCGACCCATAGCAACCCTATGCACAACGCAATGAAACACTGCCCGGTCCTGTGCCATCCACACGATCGTTGTTATGCTTGAGCCCATTGTTGCAGCCACCGTGTCAATCCATCTTGTTGAGGGTCTTCCTCTTTTTCGCTGACCCTCTACTTTACCAAGCAGGATGGCCTTCTCCAAGCAGAGAGAACAGCAAATGGAAAGAGGCATGGACGTGCCTGGCTTAGTGGAAGAACAGTAAGGAGGCCAGGGTGGTAGGAGCCAGTGAGTACTCAGAAGTATGTAGCATATAGTACACGGGAGATAGGTCAGAGAGACACCCAGGGGACCAGATCATGCAGGATATTAACAGGCAATTGCAAGAACTTTTGCGTTTGTTCTGAGTGGGATGGGAAGCCAGTGGGAAGTTCAAGCAGTGCAGAAACATGATCAGCCTCACTTTTTTTAAACAGAATCATTCTTGCTGCAGTGTTTAAGCATTGGCAGAAGGGGGGAAGGGCAGAAGTAAGGAGACCCGTGAGGGGACCACTGCCATAATGCAGGTGAGACAGTGTGGTGGTTTGGGCCATGGTGGTGGCAAGCAAGATGGAGAGACGTGGTTGATTCTGAACACATTTTGAATGAGACCTGAGAGGATATGCTGAGAAAATTGTCGAGAGTGACTCTGGCCTAGCAACTGAAAGACGGTGTCCCCAATGACTGAGATGGGGAAGACTTCAGGAAAAACAGGTTGGGGGAATCAGGAGCTTGCTTTAGACAAGTTAAGTTGAAATAACTTTCAGTGATCCAACTATATGTGTCACTTTATCGTGTTTCATTAGTATCAGCATACCCACTTATTAAACATGCTTGGACGTCTTTATGGGAGGGTTTCTAGGAAAATATTTCGTGACCTGAGTTCTCAATACAACAAAAGTTAGACCTCTTCAGCCATGTATACTAATACTTTGAGTTTTCAATTGTCATAATACACATGTCAAGGTTGAAGCTTGACTTAATGTTCGCAACAGGAAATAACAATTTGCAAATTGTTCTTATTTATGCTTGAATATTAAAGCTATTTTGAAGAGCTTCTTTTGTGATTACAACCTTTAATAAACATGTCTGTGTTTGCATTTTATTCTAGAGTCAGGGCTGGCAAATATTCCCCTTTGTTGTTAGTTCTAACGAAGGTAGACATTGATGATAACTTTTCTATTGGAGACTAATTCATAAAACTTATTCATCTTTAATGCTGCAGAGATCCTAGAATTTTATCTTTCATAGCCATTATCTATATTATCTATGTGTGTATATATTCATGTAAACTTACCTTGCTTTTCATTTTTAATCTCTGTATTTCTGTGAAATTAGCTTCAGTGTTATTGCAGAAGAACAAACATTTTACTTCATGTAGCATTCTTATCCAGTTGAGAAACTTGAATATCAAATGAATTCTATAGTCTTCTAATGAACACGCAGGCACATTTATGAAAAGTAGTGTAAGGAAGTGGAATTAACCTTTCCATACCATTGACGGCTACTGTTTTTGTCACTCATTTTTACCTCTTCTAATTGGGTCACTCCTCATGTTTTGGAAAGTTTTGATACCGTAGTTAGTTTCCAAGTTGGTGTTGTTGTTGTTATGTGCCATCGAGTCGGTTCCAACTCATAGCCCCTATGTACAACAGAACAAAACGCTGCCCAGTCCTGCACCATCTTCACAATTGTTGCTATGTTTGAGCTCATTATTGCAGCAACTTTGTCTATCCATCTCACTGAGGGTCTTCCTGTCTTTTGCTGACCCTCTACTTTACCAAGCATGATGCCCTTCTCCAGAGACTGGTCCCTCCTAATAACGTGTTCAAAGTACATGAGATGAAGTCTTGCCATCCTTGCTTCTAAATAACATTCTGACGGCACTTCTTTCAAGATAGATACCTTGGTTCTTCTGGCAGTCCATGACATTCAGTTTTCTTCACAAACATCATAATTCAAAGGCATCAATTCTTCTTCAGTCTTCCTTATTCATTGTCCAGCTTTCACATGCATATGAGACAACTCAAAATACTGTATCCTTAGGTCAGGTGCACCTTAGTCCTCAAAGTGACATCTTTGCTTTTTAACACTTAGGTTCCATAGAAACTTTTATTAAGCTTAATCTCAGACGTCACTATTTAAATAAAGAGTTTACATGCATTAGATTGACAATTTGGATGTTAAGGGTTGTGATCCCAGGCTGAATGATTTGAGAATCACTGTGGCTAATTAAAAAGTACTTCATGCAAAGTCTTTATCACTGCTTGATTAGTTGAGTACATCAAAGGATTGGAGATACGTTGGAAAAGTACTCACTGAAACATCAAAGCTTAAGTTCTAAAAAATTAATCATTGTTAGGAAAGTGGAAACAGTGTATAAAGCAAATAAAAGTTGCTCTCCCAGTAGATGTCTTAGATGCTTAAAGGATTTGTATCATGTTTGCAGTGGCAGAGTGCTTTATCATTCCTGATAAGAATTATCAGGAATAGAAAGGTTCAATGGAAACTGATGGAGTACAACATTTGGAAGCACAACCACTGGGTCTAAGGCTTGCTCAGTAATATTTCTGCTGC